GGTAGCAACTGTTTTACTATAGAAAACTGATTTTACTGGCTTTAGCAGCTGTTTTACCGGTTTTTTTTGCCTGAAGTGCGCTCGTTTTTTCGGTAAATGATCGTTTTGTGAAAAAATGACAAAAGCAAATTTTCTGAAATGCAAATTTCCAGCTCACTAAAAAGTAGAAGTATTGCCCGAGCGTTCTTTTCCAAAAAAATCGCGTTCATTTACATGTACGATTGCGGTTAAGGTCTAAGCTGAGGACGAATTTTTGAAAATATGCAAATTTTTAGGTCATTGAAAAATTGAAAGTATTGCCCGAACGGTCATTTTCCAAAAAATCCACGTTCATTCGCATGTACAATTAGCGATTCAGGTCCGAGTTGCTAACGATTTTTGGGTTCAGGAGCTGCTTGAGGCTGTGGTTGGGACCTAGAAGGCTGAGTTTAAAACTTTTGTCTCGTACGTGCATAGAGAATATCTCTGCAAAGTTTTAGCCTTCTACGTTACCTGGTTCGCGAAATCGTTTCCTCCAACAAATTCCTTTGGGGATCTCGTGCGCGGGGTTTAGGCGCGTATGGGGGAAGATTTTAAAACGGGAGGATGACACACGGAGTAGGAACATATATCCGAAGTTTCAGTCCCCAGCTTTCCTGGTTGCCGAGTTGAAAGTGGGTGACAAAATGCACTCGCTTTCCGAACACACACTTAGGGACATATATCCAAAGTTTCAGATCCCAGCTTTCCTGGTTGCCGAGTTGAAAGTGGGTGACAGAATGCACTCGCTTTCCGAACACACACACACGCACGCACACACACACAGACAGCTTCTCGACAATATGCGTTTTTGCTGGTTGTAGCAGCGCTATAGCGACAGCCTCTCGACAATATGCGTTTTTGCTTTTTGCACAGCAAAAACGCATAGAAATTGACCAACGCACCGACTGCCGGTGCGAATATGCGTTTTTTTACGGTTCCCCACAGGTTTTTGTCGCTAATGGCACTATTTTTTCCGGTAGGTGCTCCTAGCTAAAAAAATTGAGAATGGCCACCACGACTTTCGGAAACATTCCCCTAAAACTTCAGATTTCTTGTTTCTGTGGTCCCGGAGTTGCCAATTTATCCGCCAAAAATTTGTACAGGACCGTACATAAGAGCC